TTTAGCTCGCGCTTTACAGATAGAACCGGGATATTCAACAGTCGCCGAGACAGTACGCAAAACGCAGAGAGGAAGACACTTTTTGGCCGTATCTTTGCCTGTTTCGTGAGGAAAAAATAGATTTTTTGTAGAAACATCGTTCTCTACAGTACAAATACCCATGAAACTTTTCATGATAAAATTAGATTTTTTTTTTTGATTTTTTCCAACTTTTCGACCAAAAAATCGTTTTGCAAAGCGCGAGCTAGATCACAATCGGTTTGGATGTCGGTTTGGATGTCCATAGTATTGACATGGAAAGTTACTATCACTTTTCCTTGACATATGTGACAGTACTGGTCTTAGTAAATTGGACGACTTTAATCTGAAGTTTTGGTGTCACCTCAAAAAATTTTTACGCCTCAATTTGCAAAGGACGCATTTTCCGGACAAGGTCAACTTGATCCTCCGAGAAAAAGAGTTGCAGTAATGTTATACCTCCATTCTTGTCGTAAATATATTGTCTGATCGTCGCTATTTATTGGGCCGAAACTTCGTCACAAATATTTTGCCCCAGAGCCAGATAATGCCAAAAATTTTTTGATGTGGTAGTCCAAAATTTATGTCACTCACTAGGGAAGTGTACAAACGAACCCTCACTAAATGGCAAGTGTTACACACCATTGGAAAGCCCTTGAAAAATGGTGCAAGACTCCATTTTCATTTTTTGCAGAATGCCTCAGGGCAAAAAATTATAAACGGTTGATTTTAGTCAGTCGGAGAAATAACGTGGATGTGTCGCAGCGAAATCTTTCGCCTCTTTGCGCTCGCGCATCAAATCTCCAGCCGCAGCGACAGACTGATATCATAGTACAGCCAATTATTTTGTCGGGGCCATTGCGATTAGTTTTATCGAGAAATGTCTTAACTTTTACATTATTATACATTATGATTCTCCATTACAGCTCTACACTCCTCTTCCCGCTCTTTTCGCAATTTCAAACTCTGTAATCCGCCCCCCGAAAAATGTCAGAGCCTCGGGGCAAAAAAACACGCATACACACAGAGCGAAACGACGACGGGGGGCCGAGCGCCCTTTATGGCATCGAAACTACCCTGGGGAGGATGCGGAAAGTAAATGCCCGGAGGGGGGAAGGGAGGGGTGAAAGGGAGAAAAACTCAATTGAGCCGAAAGAAAAATAAATGTATACATGTGTATTCTACACTTGAAGTGTTTAATCGGCGGCCCGCGTTTCAGCGTTTGCAAACGATTCCGCTCGCCGTTTTGGGGCGAGAAGATTGAAAAAGTGGAGGGAAAAAAGTGTTGCCGGAAGCGGTGGGATGATGATTTTTGAAGGACTGCGATTTTTAAGAGTTTTTTGGACGATTACTTTCCGGCTGGTTAGAGTATTTGAGTGTTTTTGATAATATGTCGATCAAAAAACGAGGAAATTGCGATAGCTCTCAAAAAAGAGCATAGAAAAGCCTATGAACAACGAATCGCAGGAAAACAGAAAATTTATTCGTTATACTATCAGTCCGTCGGGAAAATAATGACCACTATGCCGCTGCGCCAAATGCATCTCGAAAGTTAAAAAAATTGATTTTTGTCGCGACACAATTCATTTTTTCGCCGACCATGCGATTTTCCCGGCTAGTGCTCATTATTTTCCCTATTTACTCTTTTTTTGCAAAACTCCAGGGTTTTTTGCTCTACAAACTTGCACGGTGCAAAAGCCTAGGCTTTTTTGAACTGGGAAATTGCACTGTGCAAAAGCGTAGGCTTTTTTCAACTACGAAATCGCACAGTGCAAAACCATAGGCTTTTTTACACCATGAAATTGCACCGTGCAAAAGCCTAGGCTTTCTTTAACTGGGGAATTGCACGGTGCAAAAGTGTAGGCTTTTTTTAACTACGAAATCGCACAGTGCAAAACCATAGGGTTTTTTACACTATGCGATTGCACTGTGCAAAAGCCTAGGCTTTTTTGCTCTACAAACCTGCACTGTGCAAAACCATAGGCTTTTTTGCACTAAAAAATTGCACCGTGCTAAATTCTAAGCTTTTTTCCACTGTTTTCGCATAGTGCTTGTCACCGATTTCATGCCGGCGACTTTCTGGGAGGACTAGTATTCTAATTGCAATGTGCAAAATGCATTTTTTCGCCTAGCATGAAAAAAGTCTACGCATTTTAGAAAAATTAAAAAAAATTTTTTCGACAAGGAAGTGTCAGAAACATCTCAACTTTTCGACTCACAGGAAACTTATCAGCTGTAAATTTTATAAAAGCTCCAATTCTGTAAAAATCATTCTATTCTTGCCTCTGACGACACCATTTTCCGGTTTTTTTCAATCTTTTTCCACCTGTAGATAGGTTGCAAAGCAAAACAGTGGAGCGATTGGATAGTGTACAGTGTACAATACACATTTATACATGTATTTTTCGATGTAAAAATAATTTTTAATCGAAAAAAATTTTTTGATTAAAAAAATTTTTCCATCACATTTTGGGCCAAATTTCGTATCACAAAACCTTTGTTTACCTTGAGCTATGTGTGTAAATACGAAATCGCAAATCCCCCATCGTAAATTCGGCCATGTCCTTTTGCGGAAAACACGGCATCAGATGGCATCCTAATTGGATGCATAATCCCCTCAGGGGATTGGGAAATCGTAGCGGCATTCTTCTCGGCTATTACCTAGAAAACAGCGCCGCAATCGGCTCGAATATCATGCTTTGGGGATCCGGTTTCAGGCGAAAAAGCGCCGGAATTGACGGAAATCTCGGATTTAGCGGCCGAAAATCATTATTTTTTGGAAAAATAGTATTGTTATGATGGAAAGTAATACTTAAAACTCTACCTAGTATCTTCACCCTTCTAAAACTCTAATTTTTCCCCTCAGAAAATTAATTTTTAGAACTGTTTTTTCGACTTTTATGCAAATTTTTAAAAAACCCTAGTTCTCAAGGATAACGATTCAGATTTCCTTCAAATTTTCCATACTTGGCGTGTCTAGTGTAGACTCAAATTTGTCCCAATTTTATCTCTCGGCTTGCTCAAACAGCCGAGATATTCAGCGATCTTTGCGGCCACGAGAGCATGCAAAATTCGGAGAGTGGTCAGAGAAAAACTTGTTTTGGTAATTTCTTTGCCAGTTTCGCGCGGAAAAAATGGTTTTTCTGCGGAGGCATTGTCTCCTACGGTAGAAATAGGGGTCTAGACGCATTTCTAGCCAAAGACGCAGCAAATTCTCGATTTTAATCTCGGGCGCAGGTCGGAAAAAATAAATTATTATTTTTTCTTCGGGCGCAGGTCGAGAAAACAATGATTTTTTTTTTAATTTGGTCGATTTTTTTGAGTTCCCGAATTACAGCTATTTTCAACCTTAAAACACGGACGCAGGTCGGGAAAATAAATAACATTTTTTCTTAATTCGGTCGATTTTTTTTTTGATTTTTTAGAATTTTTTTTTGATTTTTGTTATTATTATTATTTTTTTTATTTTCTAAATCAAAAATTTTTTATTTCCCCGTAGTTTCTAATCCCATAAACCCATCAAAACAAAGATTTCTCCCCGCTCTTCAATGGTCCTCAAATTGATGGGCAATCTTTTTTTTCTAATCTTTTATCCAAACTATCGTCTGTTTCAAAGCCCCATCCAAAAATGGCCGGAAGAAATGGAGCGGCGGCGTTAAAACCTTTCCGTTTCTCCGTCCCGCCCGCAGGGTCTCGTGCGTTTTTTCCTTCGCCTCTGAAGGGCCATATAATCGTAAACGTCGGCGTGATTTCTCTGGGTTAATATTGGGGGGCCCGGGGAGAACATGAGGGGTTTGGGGCCTGGGACGAAATAATGGGATTTTGGAGGTCGGCTCGGATTTAAGGAAAGGTTGAGGCCATGGAAAAACCAATTTTTTGGCCAAATTGATACGGGTTACAGCTGCGACAAGACGAGAAATTTTGCTGCGACAACTCCACATTATTTTTTCGACAGTGTCAAAATCCCGACAGACTTTCTTATCAGTCTGTCGGGAAAATAATGTGGATTTGTCGCGGCTCGAAATCGTCCATCATCGCTTTGCGACGGCTAACTGGGGCCTCGGCGGCCGCGACGAGGCTTGCTGAAGTGATTTCGGCGACATGCACTGTGCGAAAACAAAAGTTTTCTTTGCACTGTGCAATAAGCTTTTTTGCGCTGTCGCTTGCACTCTGACTTTTTCTGCACAGTGCAAACGCCAAAAACCACTCCAGCGGTTCCGGCTATAAGTAATGTGAAAGATGTGGTGACTTTTAAAGATTGTTACGAATTTTTTGTTCCACGAAAAAATTTAGACCTGAACTTTTTTTGAAATTCGGCAGAAATGAGGCAAAAAATTTTCTTTGCATGTGAAAACTTAACTTTTTTATTCATTTTCATTTTCTCTAATATCCGATCGAAAGATTTTTAGAACCTGAAATTTTCAATTTTCACTGATTTTTGCGATTGCACAGTGCAGAGCGAAAAATAGGCCAAAACTCCAACTGCACAGTGCAGAGCCAAAAATAGGCCAAAAAACGGTTTGCACAGTGCAGAGCAAAAAATAGGCTAAAAAACGGTTTGCACAGTGCAGAGTCAAAAATAGGCTAAAAATCCGTCTGCACAGTGCAGATCCAAAAATAGGCTAAAAAAAGGTTTGCACAGTGCAGACCCAAAAATAGGCTAAAAATCCGTCTGCACAGTGCAGACCCAAAAATAGGCTAAAAATCCGTCTGCACAGTGCAGACCCAAAAATAGGCTAAAAACCGGTCTGCACCGTGCATCCAAAAAAATTTTTTTCGTACGGTCTATTGACGATACGCTTTAAAATTGACTTATTCTTTGCCCGTATTTATCAACACGATTTTACTTTTACTACGTTAATGGCGTGCGTATTTTACAAAAATTTCCGAAACAATTTTACAACGTTTCGTTTCAGAAATTTTCCTTGCCAGCCGACTGCATGATATAACCGTCTGTTTCGAAGCGGTGATGCCAACGCGGGATGCGCGTGCAGAAATGGATGATTCAAGTGGCGTTCGCACTGTGCGCTCTACTGACTTTTGCTAACTGCCTGGAACAAAACGCCTCGACGCAGTGCGTCGAAAACGAAGTTTGCTCAACGAACAACGCTCACGTCTGCCGAAACAACACGTAAGTTGGGGGCGATCAGACATTAGTTTTGGTTGACTAGGGGGTCATTTTTGTCGAATTTTCGAAAAAAACGTTAGAAATGCGTGTTCTAACATTGTACGAAGCATGAAATAAATTTGAAGACTTTTAGAGCTGAAGCTCGGGCGCAGGTCGGAGGATTTTTTGAATATTTTTCGAAGCGACAGCTAAAAATTGCGCAATATGTCTTGGAAAACGGTACACTAACTTTTTATGAAGATTGAACTAATTTTGAAACTTTTAAAGGCGAAGGGCGGGCGCAGGTCGGAAAAAATTTCAATCTTTTTTTTCAATATTTTGAGAGAAGTTATTTTAACATCTCTAAAGAAATATACACGTCTTTTGATCTCCCAAAAATCCCTCCTTTCAGTTGCGTATCAGTCTGCTCTCTACGGGGCATGAAGGAATGCGTCTGTGACACCGAAGAGGACAACTACTGCTACCTGTGCTGCGGCAACGACGAGAATCGCTGCCAACCCGCGCACGAGCACGGGATCCTCCGCGCGAACGGCGAGCGCTGGGAGCGCGAGTCGTGCGCGCGCTGCCGCATGAATGGCGCCGAAATGGAGGGCCTCGCGTGCGACGACCACGACACACAGCGCCTCTGCCTCCAAGGCAAATGCTCCAAGTCCGTGTGCCACGACAAGCAGCAGGGCGCGTTCTGCGACCGCAAACTGGAGAAGATTTGCGTGGACGACATTTGCGAGAACCCCTGCGCCAAGATTCAGCCCCATTTGATGGTGTGCGACTGTCCGGCCATCGATCCGGACACGGGCTTCGCCAGCGAGGATCGATGCCAGCTTTGTTGCTACGACTTTAATGTGGTAGGTGGAGTCGAAAAATAAATTTTTCAAGTATTTGTGAGATTTTTTCATAGGCCGAAAAAAATTAGTCTCGAACATGAAACTTTGGAAATGAGGATAAAAAAATTCTAGACATCAGAAAAAATTTTCATTTTTCATTTTCTGTGGTATTCGGTGAGACGATTTTTAGGACTTGAAATTTTCATTTTCTTTTATTTTTTCGACTGCACAGTGCAACCCCAAAAATAGGCCAAAACTCCAACTGCACCGTGCGTTTTCAAAAATAGGCCAAAAATCCGACCGAACTGTGCAATTCCAAAAATAGGTTAATGATTCGACTGCACATTGCAAGCCCAAAAATAGGCTAAGAACCAGTGTGCACAGTGCAGTACTATAAATAGTCTAAAAATGCAACTGCACCGTGCAACCCCAAAAATAGGCCAAAAATCCGTCTGCACCGTGCAATTTAAAAAATAGGCTAAAAATTCGACTGCACAGTGCATGTTGGCGACTTCACTGAAACCGCCAATTCTTTCCCACGAATTTGCATAAAGTCAAAGGACAAAGTCTTCATAAGATCAATTTCCCCTATTCTCAGAAGTCGGTGTCTCGCGCTCCTCTAGTGAGCGGTTGTGTGTGTTTCTCGTGTATTGCCCAATAAATATTCTCCTATTGTCTACAAATCGTTTATAGTGCAATCAAGAAAAAAAAGTTTTGCGCTTTCCAAAAACTTCAACGCAAAATTATCAACCTTTACAAACCTTCATTTTCAACTTTCAGAAACCCTCATCTCGCCGTTGCCAAAGCGCCTTCCGCAAGTACCACATCTCGACGCCGCAGGGTCGCCCAATCTGGCGTGTGGGGCTGGACTGTGCGGGCGGGAAGACCTGCAACCGCTATGGAATTTGCACCTCGGGCGCTGCGGACCACACCGGCCCTTTGGCGGGTCTATGGCAGACCAGCGGAGGTCGAACATTGCTCATTATTGTGTTCATAATTTTTGCGCCCGCCATCATATGACTAGGCGTGGAAATGGCGCGCTGCATGGTCTGTCCGCTGAACCGGGGAGGGCCCATCGCTGCATTGTGATGCTGGCTGTTGTGTGCAGTGGTTCTGCTTTGATTTACGCTTCTATATAGCGAGATATCTACATAGCAAACAATTTTATCCGCAGCAAACGGGGATTTTAGGCTAGATTCAAAAAATCTCGGCCAAATCGAAAAAATTCCAAAAGAAACCTGATGTGTCACACACATAGGCCACTGTACCACCCTCTAGAAGATTTTCACGCCATAAATTACTATGGTATTTCAACCGGAGACCTTGCAGAATCAAAATTTTGCGGAGTCGCGCCTCCCAAAAAAACCGTCAATGCTAAAAATACTGATGATTTCTAAGAAACCATCGTATCTTCAGCGGTATCTCTGTCACATTTGCTCTCATATTTCTTGATTTCGTCCAAAAATTTGCATATTATTATCTTAATTCGCATAAATTTGAATTTTTTGCCAAAAAATAATTTTTTCTCAAGTTTCGCCCAAAAAATCGGTGTGTTTCTTTTAATATTGATAGTATCTCTGCATTCTACTTATTTCTGATTAATTTTGACATTTTTTTACACCGGTAAATTTGCATAACATAATTTTTTTTCATGTTTTTCCCCAAAAATCCCGATTTTTCCCGTTTTTCCGGTCTAAAATCGTTTTTCTGCATAATACGATGATTTTACCGTCTCATATTTAATCACTGATTATTCTCTAAACTCTACGTTGCATTTATAACCCATTTTCATCGACTTTCCATTCATTTCCACCCAATGCAGGTGGGTTTTGTCCGCCTATACCACTGAAACTCTCGGGTAATCTCATCATATGGGACTTTTCTCCAATACAAACTCGATTTATCGTACGCAGCTTCTCCCACAAGTTTATCCCACATTTATCCCACTTCTGTCCATGTTTTATCCGTTCAACTGCCCAAACTCCAACCCCAAAATTGGTCTTTTCGTTTGTCAAACTACTTGTACAGGTCAGATTACTTGTGTAAATAAAGATTGTTTTATAGTTTTTTGAAATTTTTGTGAATTTCGCAATGTGATAAAGGGTTGGAAAAAGCAAACCGACCTTGAGCCAGGTGACGAACGGCGGCGGAAGCCCTTCAACTTTGCAGTCCAATATCAGCGAATGGTTGAAGATCAACGCCGGCGTGATGGTGGAGAGGTCCGTGAACTTGGGGCGCTCTGAAATACGGACGAATGGAGAGGGAAACTACTGTTTTTGTGCTATAGGACTATCGACTCAAAAAAAAAATTCTCTTTGAAATCAAAAAATTTCGTAACTTTTTTTTGTCGCACTTGAGCTAACAAGCGGTAAAAATCGGTTTTACGTGCTATAACCATCCAAAAAAGCGACCGTAACCAAGATTTTTTGAGATTTTGGACATAAACTTAGGTCATAACAGCATACGCTTGTATGTCCAGAAAATGTGTCACGATGACACTCGTTTAAAACGTGTCAGCGGTTCAAACAACACCTGCACATGGCTAACACTACTCCCTAGAGTGCCTACAAAAAAATTTGCGCCCAAAGCTTTTGCAACATGCAATTTGAATGACAGATTTTCTGGATTTTTTCATTGGCAATTCTCTAAATTTTTTGACATGCTCTAGGAAGCACTACGCGTCATATATAACAGTTTTTTACACCACTGACACATTTTAAAGCAGTGTCATTGACGCATTTTTTGGATGTTTTCATTTGCAATTCCCTGAATTTTTTGACATGCTCCAGAGAGTACTACAATCATTTGCAGTTACTTTTTATACCATTGGCAGACTTTAAACCAGCGTCATCGTGACACATTTTCTGGACACACAATATTTTCCGCCGAGAATAGTAGGGCGCAGCTCGAAAAACTGGCACGGGCGCAGCTCGCATCTCGGGGCAGCTCGGAAAACAATCTTTTGCAGCTCGGCGGAGCTAAGTTTCAGCGTGTATTCGAGCTGGGGCCAACGCGCTATCTGAAAGTTCCCATAAAATCATAGGGCGCAGCTCGCATCTAATGGGCAGCTTGGAAAACCAGCCTTCGCGGCTCACCGGAGCTAAGTTTCAGCTTGTTTTGAGCTGCGCCCAAGACGCGAGCTGCGCCCTGCCATTTTCAGCAAACTTTCAGATAGCGCATTGGCCCTCGCTACAACCCAAAAAAAGAGAGCTTACGCAACACAGTGACCTTGAAGTTCTTCCTGTCCTGTCCAGCCGAATTCCCCACCACACAATAGTAATCGCCGGCATGCTCCTGTTGCGCATTATTGATCACCAGGTTCGTGTTGTCAATGACAATATCGCCAATGGCGCCTTCTTGCAGCAGCTCCTTGTTCCGGTACCACTCCGTGACAAATGGGCCATTGCCGCTCTTGGGTTCGCAATTCAACACCACCGCTTGGCCTTTTTGCACGTGCGTCTGCGCATCATTTGCGTCGAGGACGGGCGGCGCGCTCAGCTGCAGCATGAACGTCTTGGCGGAGCGGCCCACATTGTTCTCCGCTTCGCACGAATAGCGGCCCTCGTCGCTGCGCTGCGCGTCCGCAATGACTAGCGTGCGGTTTTGGTCGTGGAATTGGCCATTGTCCTCGAGGACTTGCCCGTTCTTGCGCCACACAATTCGGGCCTTCGGAATCGCCGTCACGGCGCAGTGGATCTCGATGCGGTCGCGTTGAAGGGCGGCGATCAGCGGCGGCGACGAGTTCTTCTCGTCGATGGTCGGCTTCACGAGGATGTCGAGTCGGAAGTTCTGTTGCACGGAGCCGGCGTCGTTCTTCACGATGCAGGTCCATTGGACGGCGTCCGACTTTTGCGCCGAGAGGATGTGCAGTTTGCGGCCGTGGTCGGTGATCTGCAATGGGGTTTGCGGTGGAGACTGTTAAGTGGAATGCCTAGGGAACCACATATCGGTTGGGTCCAAAAGTCTTGACAAATCTGTACAATGCGACCAGCAGACCGCACGTCAAAATTCATCAGTCTGTCGGGAAAATAATGTGGATTTGTCACGTCTTGGAATCACTCATCATCGATTTGCAAAGCCCTCCCCGCGGCTGGGGATTTGTTGCGATGAGGCGAGGCATCTTGCTGCGACAGAGCGCTCATTATTTTGCTGACAAACCGATATCAGTCTGTCGGGAAAATAATGTGGATTTGTCGCGGCTTGGAATAGCCCATCATCGCTTCGCGACAGCTACTCACGGCTGGAGATTTGGAGGCCACAGCTAGGAGGTGAGACATTTTAATGCACCAAATCCACATTATTTTCCCGACAGACTTGTGAATTTTGACGTGCGATCTGCTAACGGAATTGTGCAGACTTGTCATGAGTTTTGGGAAGTATAGGGTATGTGTGAGTCCCTAGGGATTCCATTACAGAACCTCTCAAGAACCAACAAAGACAACAAAACCTGTCTACAACAAATTGAGTTCTAACGTAAGGTCCATGCAGTCATTTTAGACCACAATGAACCTTAAAAAACCCCTTTTTTCAGTCTGTCGGGAAAATAATGAACACCCTGCCGCAGCGAAAATTCGCATCACCGTCGGTAAAATGAATTGTGTCGCGGTGAAAATCAGACTTCTTTTCACTTCAGCAACACGATTTTCGATGCGACAGAGTGCGCATTATTTTCCCGACAGACTGAAATTATATTACAAGCGTTTTCGAGACTTTTGAGGTCCTTTGTAGAGGGATACCACTATATAATTCGGCTCACCTGAATATATTCCTCATCAATTCCCTCGACAACTCCTTTCGCCCCACCAATGGTCCTCCCGTCCTTTCTCCATTCGATTTCCATACTGTCGTCCCAATTCTTCACCTTGCACTCCAAAACGGCCGGCTTGTTCAGCAAAGAGGCGACGTTCTGCGTGGCGGACGTTGGTTTGCCGTCGAATCTGGGGATGTCTGAAAGAATAGAGAATAGGGTTCGGAAAAAAAAATTTCACCTCGTGGTTATGTTCCCGGGTATATATTATATATGTGGTTCGGTACAAAAAAAATCTTTGTATGTCCAGAAAATGTGTCATGATGACAGCGGTTGGAAATGTGCCAGTGGTATAAAAAACGGCTGTATATGGCTAGGAGTACACTGCAGAGCATGTGAATAAATTTCGCTGAAAAAAATCAAAAAAATCCAGAAAATCCGTCATCCAAGTTGCGCATTGCAACAGCTTTGAACTTAACTTTTTTTTGTGGGTACTCCAGAGAGTACTTCTAGCCATATACTACTGTTGTTTATAAAACCGGCACATTTTAAACCGGTGTCATCATGACATATTTTCTGGACACACAAAGATTCACAAGTCCCGAGCCATATATTCCCGGGTATATATATACACAGGGGATTCGGATTTACTTATAAAAACTTGAAGTTTTTATAAGTAAATAAAAGTTTTTATAAGTGATTTTGAGTTCCCTGTGTATACGTATATAATATATACCCAAAATTACGAGCATCTCGACTCACCCAAAATCTTGACAAAGGTGTCCATATCGGCGATACCGGCGATGTTCGTCGCCACACACGTGTATCTCCCCGCATCGCTCAATTTGGCCTTGTCGATCCTCAACTCCTTCCCTCCATTCAACAACACCACCCTCTCGTCCTGTCCTTTCGCTCCGATCGCGTCCGCCACGCCGAGCGGCACACCGTCGCGCAGCCACGCGATCGTCGGGTCGGGACGCCCGTCCGCCGGACACTGCACCGCAATCGTGCTGTTGATGGTGAACACATGCTCGGCGGGCACGTTGGACTCGTCGATGCGCGGCTCTTCGAGGAAGCGCAGACGGAAGTCGCGTGTGTCGTTGCCGGCCGCGTTCTTCGCCACGCACGTGTAGGTGGCGGCGTGCTCGCGCTGCAGGCTCACAAAGTTCAGGCGCTGCTGGTTGTGCGACACGTAGATTTGGTTGGAGTGGGGGGCCGCGTTCAGCGGCGTCCCGTCGCGCAACCAGGTAACGTAGGGTGCGGGGGTACCCTGCACTGGGCAATGGATCTCAACTCGTCCGCCGATCTCGCCATCGAGGTCAGCGGGCTGATTCAGACGCTGGATCCGGGGCTTGGCTGAAAAGTCGAGAAATTATGTGTCTGTCGGGGAAATAATGTGGATTTATCGGTCTGTCGGGAAAATAATGTGGATTTACCAGTCTGTCGGGGAAATAATGTGGATTTATCAGACTGTCGGGAAAATAAAGTGCATTTACTAGACTGTCGGGAAAATAATGTGGATTTATCAGTCTGTCTGGAAAACAATGTGGATTTCGCAGTCTGTCTGGAAAACAATGTGGATTTAGCAGACTGTCGGGAAAATTATGTGGATTAAACAGACCATCGGAAAAATAATTTGCATTTCCAGATTGTCGGGAAAATAATGTGGATTTACCAGACTGTCTGGAAAATAATGTGGATTTATCAGGCTGTATGGAAAATAATGTGGATTTATCAGTCTGTCTGGAAAACAATGTGGATTTCGCAGTCTGTCTGGAAAACAATGTGGATTTAGCAGACTGTCGGGAAAACAATGTGGATTTAGCAGACTGTCGGGAAAATTATGTGGATTAAACAGACCATCGGAAAAATAATTTGCATTTCCAGATTGTCGGGAAAATAATGTGGATTTACCAGACTGTCTGGAAAATAATGTGGATTTATCAGGCTGTATGGAAAATAATGTGGATTTACCAGACTGTCGGGAAAATAATGTGGATTTGTCCTCGTCGCAATCACACACCAGATTTCCAGCTCCGGCTAGCCGGCGCAAAGCGATAATGGACAATTCCAAGCCATGACAAATCCACATTATTTTCCCGACAGATTTTTTTTTATTTTTTTTCGTCACCAAGGAAATGAATTGCGAAATCGATTTTTTCACTTTAGCGACGCGATCGGCCCAACGACATTGTGCTCATTATTTTCCCGACAGAGTGATACATTCTTTTATCGGCTCTAAAAAACTTTTAACAAAAAAAACATGTCATAACTACTTACTCATCACCTCCACCGAGATGTCCTCATCCACAATGCCGGCGGCGTTCTGCGCCTCGCACGTGTATCTGCCGCCGCCCGTGTCCGCCTTGATATTCTCCAGCCGGAGGCTGGTGCCGGCGAACCTCGCGCCCGGAATGACCAGTGCCACGTTCGAGTGGTCCAATTTCTGGCCGTCCCGATACCAGCGAATGATCGGCTCGGGGTTGCCATTCGCCGCGCACTCCAGCACGAGCGTCCCGTTCTCCACGACGGTCCGTCTTCGATCCCGTTCGAGCATCTCTATCGATGGGGGCACCATGATGTCCAGTGTGTAGTCGGCGCGATTCTCGCCGGCCAAGTTCTTCACAACACAGGTGTAGGTGCCTTGGTCTTGGAGATTGGCGCTGAAAATAAGGTTTTTTTATATTTTTCCCGAGCTGCGCCCGACCTTTAGCCCCAAAAAAACTTTCTATTACAAAAAAAGATAGCTGTTCTTTTGTGAATATGAAATTTTATAAAATTTCGAAAATAAAATTTTTAATTCTTATAAATTTTTTCGAGCTGCGCCCGACCTTTGACATTTTTGCAATAAAAATGCAAAAAAAAAAGGTATTTTACAAAAAAGATTTGGAGGAAAACCTTTTTTAGTCTGAAATTTTGGAAAAATAAAAAATATTAATTTTCCCCACCTGCGCCCGACCATTAACCTGAAAATTCCCGGATTTTGGAAAAGCTTGGCCCATGCAGTTTACTAAAACTCAATCTTGATATGTCAGCACACCATTCCAAAAATCCGAAATTTTTTTTATTTAAGATCGGGCGCAGGTCGGAAGAATTAATATTTTTTATTTACGAAATTTAACTTTGGTAAAATACGGCGACACACATTACGTCCATCAAGATAGTAGTCCCTCCAAAAAACTGATTTTTTAATTTAATGTCGGGCGCAGGTCGGAAAAATCAAAAAATATTTTTTTTGATTTTTTTTATTTTGATTTGGTAAAATACGTCGAAGCAATTGACACAATTATGTGAATTTTTTGACTTCAAAGTGGGGCGCAGGTCGGAAAAATCGCAAAGTTTTTTTTCCAAAAAAAAAATTTTTTTTTTTGGTAAAATACGTCAAAAAAATTTGACTTTTATGAGAAATTTTTGATTTGAAAGTAGGGCGCAGGTCGGAAAAATCGCAAATTTTTTTTCCTAAATTTAAAAAAAATTTTGATTTGGTAAAATACGTCAAAACAATTTTGACATTTTTTAGAAAATTTGTGACTTTAAAGTAGGGCGCAGGTCGGAAAAATCGCGATTTTTTTTTTCCAAAATTAAAAAAATTTTTTTTGGATTTGGTAAAATACGCAAAAAGAATTGTAGAACTGCTGAAAAATTTTCGATTTTAAGGTAGGGCGCAGGCCGAAAAAATCACAAATTTTTTTCCTAAAGTTCAAAAAAATGGAAAAATTTTGATTTCATAAAAAAACCCCTACTCATGAACAATCAATTTCCTTCCATTATGGAGCACCGTGAACTTCGTTGCGGTCGGATCGATCGGTTTCAGGTCGTAGAGCCAAGTAATGTTCCCAATGAAGCTCGGGTCCTTGATCGGGCAATTCAGCGAGATCGAATCGCCCAACGGCGCGTCAATCTTGTCCGTTTTCACGTCCAACAACGCCGGTTTTTGTATGATCGTCACGCCGAAACTGGTCTCCGCCGTGCCCAGCTCGTTCTCCGCGCGGCAAATGTAGTGGCCGGCGTCGGAGACGTCCAGCTTCGACAGTTTCAGCTGCTCTCCCTCCGCTTTGATGCTGATTTTGGGGTTCGGCGCCAGTTTGGCGCCGTTCTTGAACCAACTCACCGTCGGCTTGGGCTTGGCGTTCGACTCGCACACCATGGTCAGGCTGCCGTTCTCGACGATGGTGAAGTCGCGGTGGGGGCTGAGGATCTCCGGCTTTGCTGAAAACGATGCCTTTTTTCGCGGCGCACAGTGCATTTTGAACTTTTTCCCACGCTTGTCGCTAGCGCACAGTGCATTCTTCTGTTTTCGCACAGTGCAAACCTCAAAAAATCCGGTTTGCACAGTGCATTCTGAAGTCTCTCCCATACTTGTCGCCAACGCACAGTGCGTTTTTCTCTTTTCGCACAGTGCAAACCAAAAAACAGCTGTTTGCACTGTGCAAGTTCCCGGCGCCGTCGCGGCGATATTTCCCCGCACAGTGCAAAAACCAAAGAAAGAATGAAACGCACGGTGCAAAATGAGGGTTGTTTGTGCATGCGGACCGCGATAGCACTGTCCACGCACTTTATGAAAATTCCAACAGATATTTGACGGAGCCTCAAAAAAAGTTGTTTAAATGTCTGGCACCGCCGCAGCGACCCAGTAAAACTTGCTTATGTCGCAGCACTATTTCGATGCACGGTGCAAAATGTTTTTTCGAGACTTTGCACAGTGCAGGGTTGGGAAAACTTCGAAGGACTTTTTGCCGCAACTACTTTCTGGCCTATCAAAAAAGGGGCGTTGTCCTACTTTTCACATCCAACTGGAACTCCTGTTTCTCCTCTCCGGCCTTATTTCGGACCAAACAAGTGTACAGACCCTGATCTTCCACCTCAACATCCGTCAACTGCAATTTCCTTCCGTTCTCCATAAACTTGAATTTCTGCTCCGCCTCAGGCTTGAGCAGAGCGCCGTCCTTCAGCCAGATGAACTCCGTGCCCAGCGCATGCTCGATTGCGCATTCCAGGACCGTGCTCTTGGACTGGGCCACACTGTGGTCTTGAAGGGAATGCTGTCCCAACAGGAGAGCTGGCTTTCGAATGATTGTGATGTTATGTGTTTTTACGACCTTTCCAGCGTCGTTTTCAACGTTACAGGCGTAGACACCGGCGTGGGATGGACGGACTTTTTCGATGTGAAGGAAGCGGCTTTCAGTCATCACCTGAAGCAAGGTTTATGTGGAAAAGTCGGAAAATAAATGACTGAAAAGCGATTGAAATTTGTTTTTTTGGATCTCAATGGAATTGCGTACAAATAACAAGTAAAAATTGCAACAAAGAATAGCATTTTCTCTCGGAAAATGGCGGAAAATCGACGATTTTTTTTGCGAATTTCGTCATTAAAAGTTTCATGTCTGTTTGTTCCGTAGAGGGTAATGTTTACACAAAAAAATCTATTTTTTCTGCACGAAACTGGCAAAGATATGGCGAAAAAGTGTTTACACTCTTACCGCGCTCCGCATTTCTTTTACTCTCTCGTGGAAAAAGATCATTTTTAATTTCTCGGCTGTCCCTACAGTGACGGACCCGATCAGGTGGCAAAAAGGGTACCATTTTGCATCCGGGAAGTATCAAAAATGTGTCAAAATGCCTCCCTCTCCACCTAAACGCCCTTCCCTCCCAAAAAGAGCGGTACGCTTTTGAAATCGGAGTTTTTTCTCTTGGAGAGGGAAGCATTTTGCCATATTTTTGAAACTTTCCGGATGCAAAATGGTATGTTTTTGCCACTGGATCAGGTCCCCCACTGTAGAAAGACCAAACCAAAATTTGCAAAAATTGACAAAAAAATATAAACAATCTTTGCCGACGAGAGAGCGCGCGAAATGCGGAGAGCGGTTGGCGAAAAAACACTTTTTTGGCCATTTCTCTGCCAGTTTCAGGTAGAAAAAGTCGATTTTTTGTTAAAACCCTGCTTTCTACAGTAGAAATAAGAGCGAAATTTTCCATGTAAAAATTCGTAAAAAAGTAGCAAATTTTCAACAAGTTTTGAGCAAAAAATCTCGATTATTTTTGAGCTGGAAATTTCAGTCGTAAAAAATTCCCAGGACTTTTTTCTCTTTTTTCCGCGATTACAGCCCTTACTTTAGCCTCAGCCGGCAATTTCCCTCCATCCTTGGTCCACACAACTTTTGGCGTTGGGAATCCATTATAGATACATTCCAGATGCAAACTCTTGTCCTCCACAAACTCCATGGCCTCGAAATTCGTTCCCAAAATGTTCGGTGGCACCAAAACATTCAGCTCGAACTGGCTCGCCACTTTGCCCGCCTTGTTCGCAATCACACAAGTGTACTCTCCCTCGTCGCCCAAATGAATCCCCAGAATGGTGAGACGCGTTCGGTCCAACGACAGCGCGTAGCGCTTGGAGTCCATGGAAATGGGACGCCCTTTCTGCAGCCAGTTGATCTCCAGGTCCTCCAGACGAAGCGAGGAGACGGGACATTCAAATGTGGCCGTGTTACCCTCATACGCATCCACCGCGCGTTGCTCTTCAGAGAGTTGAGCCATCTTTGGAGCGAAAATACTCTAAAAAATCATTTTTTATTGGACAGAAATGAAAAAAAAGAAGTTTTATAAGCAAAATTTTTATTATAAAAAAAATATTTTTGCACCGTGCAAAGAAGAGAAATTCAACAATTTGCAAAAAGGTAGAAAAAATTTAAAAAAATTTTGCACAGTGCATAACAGAAAAATTTGGCACTGTGCAAAGTAATAAAAAATTTGCACCGTTCGGAGCAAAAAAAATCAGCACTGTGCAAATAGAAAGAAAAAATTTAAAAAAAAAATTTTTGCACAGTGCATAACAAAAAAATTTGGCACTGTGCAAAATAATAAAAAATTTGCACCGTGCGGAGCAAAAAAAATCAGCACTGTGCAAAGAGGTAGAAAAAATTGAAAAAAAAATTTTTTTGCACAGTGCATAACATAAAAAATTTTGCACAGTGCAAAGCAATAAAAAATTTGCACTGTGCACAGTAATAAAAAATTTGCACCAAAAAAAATCAGAATTGTGCATAGCGGTAGAAAAAATTGCAGTGTGCAGAGCGGTTAAAAAAATTTTGCACGGTGCATAACAAAAATGCACGGTGCAAAAAGAAAAAAATTGCACAGTGCACAACGAAATAACAAATATTGCACAGTGCAAAGCAAAAAAATGCAGCACGACGCCAGAGAAAAAATTTTTTTTTACAAATGTAAAAAAATCACTGCACAGTGCAGGCAGAAGAAAAATTGCACAGTGCAAAACGACAAATTTTAAAATTCATTGCACAGTGCGGGCGGAAAAATTTTTGCACAGTGCAATTTCGTAGTTGAAAAAAGAATTCCATCGATTGCGACCCCGCATCGATTGCGACAAAGCATCGATTGCGACCCCGCAACGATTGCGACCCAAAATGGGGTAAAGCGACCCCGGGATGAAAATTCTTTGATTCTCTTCGGGAAAAACTTGCTTTAGGGGTTTTCGAGGGTGCTGATTTCGAAAATCATGTTCATTTTTCCTCTAGTACTACATAGTGCTGTCTGATACTATATAGCACGAAGTGAAAATATCGCTTTTGACGTTAAATACTCGATTTAGGGGTTTTCGAGGGTGCTGATTTCGAAAATCATGTTAATTTTTCCTCTAGTACTACATAGTACTGTCTGATACTATATAGTACGAATTGAAAATATGGCTTTTGACGTTAATGGTGTTGTTTTGATGCTTAGTACTCTTCAAAAACACGTTTTAAAGGCTTGGTGCTATATAGTACTGTCTGATACTATATAGTACGAAGTCAAAATATGGCTTTTGACGTTAATGGTGTTGTTTTGATGCTTAGTACTCTTCAAAAACACGTTTTATTCACTTGGTGCTATATAGTACTATCTCATACTATGTAGTACGAGGTGTAAAGTTGGCCTTTAGGCGTTAGTGGTGTTGTTCTGGTGCTTAGTACGCTTATTTTTACTTCGTACTATATAGTATCAGACAGTACTATGTAGTACTAGAGGAAAAATTAACATGATTTTCGAAATCAGCACCCTCGAAAACCCCTAAATCGAGTATTTAACGTCAAAAGCGATATTTTCACTTCGTGCTATATAGTATCAGACAGCACTATGTAGTACTAGAGGAAAAATGAACATGATTTTCGAAATCAGCACCCTCGAAAACCCCTAAAGCAAGTTTTTCCCGAAGAGAATCAAAGAATTTTCATCCCGGGGTCGCTTTACCCCATTTTGGGTCGCAATCGATGCGGGGTCGCAATCGATGCGAGGTCGCAATCGAGCGGGGTCGCAATCGAAGGATTCCTTGAAAAAAGCCTATGGTTTTGCACAGTGCAATTTCATAGTTGAAAAAAGCCTATAGTTTTGCACAGTGCAATTAAATAGTTGGAAAAAGCCTACGGTTTCGCGCTGTGCAATGGACTGAAGAAAAAATTGTTTTTGCACTGTGCAATGGACTAAAAAATTTCTTATGCACAGTGAAAAATAAAAAAAAAAAAAATTTTAAAGTATCGCAACTCAAAATTACCTGAACGAAAAAGTCCTTGGTCGCCAAACCCGCATCGTTCTTGATGACACAAGAATAATGGTTCTTGTCCACAGTCTCATCAAACGCCTCCACCTCGATGGAAGTCCGATTTTCCGAGCCGGGAATCAGGTGATCGTCGCGGAACCATTGAATTTGAGGCGGTGGATTGCCTCGGACATCACAGCGGAGAACTTGTTTCTGCCCTTCCACGATGGTGATGGTATCATCATAGGGAGTCTTATCGATCAAGGTTGGAGGAACTGAAAATTTTTTTTTTACTTTTTTAGCACGGAGGAATGGAAAAATAAAAATTGCACGGTGCATTTATTTCTTTTTTAATGCACTGTGCAACCAAAAAAGGACAAATTTCTTGCACTGTACAGTCAGATAGGAACAAATTTTAAGCACTGTGCTGTAAAAAAACATAAAATTTTTGCACAGTGCGGTTAATAAAGAATAAATTTTCGCAACGATAAATTTTTTGCACTGTGCAGTCAGAAAGGAACAAATTTTTTGCACTTGCAGTAAAAAACCTTAAAAATTTTGACACCGTGCAGTAAAAAAAGCAAAAAATTTTTCGCACAGTGCAGTAAAAAATAACAAAATTTTCGCACTGTGCATTCAGAAGAAGGTAAATTTTTTGCACTGTGCATTCAAAGAAAGGACAAATTTTTTGCACTGTGCGGTAAAAAAGGACAAAATTTTCGCACAGTGCAGTCCAAAAAGAATAATTTTTTGCACAGTGCGCCAAAAAAACAAGTTCTTTGCACTGTGCATCCAAAAAAAAAGACAATTTTATCGTAATGTGCGCCGAAGGAAGACAAATTTCGCCACTGTAGAGTCAAAGAAGAATAAATTTTTTGCACAGTGCAAAAAATTGGCAAATTTATTTTCTTGCACTGTGCAAAAAATCCGAAATTTTCGCACAGTGCGAAAAAATTTTTTCCAAAAAAAAATGCTTCCAAACTCACCATTGACTTCCACACTGAAGTCTTGGGTATCCTCATCGACCTGATTGATCGCGACACACGTATAAATTCCGTCGTTTTCTTCGGTGGCTCTCGGAATTATCAATCTTCGTCCATTCAGCGGGATCTGGGCGTTCGACGGAAGCGATTCCCGGCCGTTCTGGAGAAATAAATTGTATTCTTGTTACAGTAAGCTCATATTTTAATAAAAAAAGCTCAATAAAACCTACGAAAAGCCATTTGAAGGCGGTCGTTCCATCTTCATTTTCGATGTCGCAGTTCAAAGTGAACGGTTTTCCGATTACAACTTTTGGCGGATTTGCTTTCACAATTTTTGGTGGTGCCAAAACAATCAAGTCTACTGTAACATCAACGCTTCCGGCTTTGTTCGACGCCACACAAACGTAGGGACCGGAGTTGGAAAGGCCAACTTTTTCGATTATCAGCTGAAAAATGCAAAAAATTATTATTTTTTTATATTTTTTGCGGTAAAATACGACGATAAAACTGTAAACTTAATTAAAATTTTATCCAAACCAACAGATTTTCGATATTTCCCAGAAATCTTTGAATTTTCAAAAAATTATTGTTTTCGTGTCGAGACCCAAATTTGAATTTTATAACTCAAAAAATCACAATGAAACTTTTTAGAAATGTAATTCGAGCAGTAAACGACTTACTGCATCCTTATTGTCCTCCTGAAGTCCTTGTTTGTTCGAGTTGCTTCCGAGCGTGGCCAGCCACGTGATATTGGGCTTGGGATGACCGCTGACTGGACAATGGATTTCCACGCGGTTCCCTTGAATCACGGTGATTTTCCGTTTTTGCGTTGATTCATCGAGCTGAGGGGGTACTGAAAAAAGAAAAGCATTTTTAACTAAAAAAAATTTTTTTGGAAAGCAAATTTGCGAAAGTTTTTTTCTGAAAAGCAAAATTAAGAATTTTTTGAAAGCAAATCTGCGAATTCTTTTCTTTCTTGAAAAGCAAAATTAAAAATTTTTGGAAAGCAAAATTGCGAAAATCTTTTTTTAAAAGCGAAATTAAAAATTTTTTGGAAAGCAAATCTGCCAATTTTTTTCTAGTCACACAATAAAGCCCGTAGGATTTTCACATTGAGTTTTTTCCACCGCTTTTCATTTTGAAAAGCAAAAGTGTTCGCTCAAATAAAAGATGAAAAGCAAAAACGTCAAAATCTACACATATTTTATAATATAAAAAAATTTCCTTACTCATAACCTCGATTGCAAAGTCTTTGCGAACCTCGCCAGCGGCATTCGACGCGATACACTCGAACCTCCCACTATCCTTCACATTCGTATGCAAAATGCTCAGCCTCCTCCCATCGTCGCTGACGACATAATGCGGACTCGACCTGTTCACCGCCGTCCCATGCGCGAGCCATTGGATCTGCGGGACGGGATTCGAGGTGACCGGACAATGGAGGACCAATGGCTGATCGTTGATGACGAATTGCTCCTCAGTGACTGTGTCCTGCTTGATGGTCGGTTTCTCCAGGACGTCGACGGTGATCAGAGCGTCCGTCCGGCCGGCTTCGTTGATCGCGACGCAGGAAAACAGACCCGAAGTTTGTTTGTTCACCTTGGTCAAGTATAAGGTGCCATCTGAAAAATGAGAGATGTTTTGTGATTGTTGCGGTGCAAAGAAATGTTTTGCGACTTACTCGGCAAGACAATGATGTCTTCATTGCTGCTGACGGGTTTATTGTCCATGTACCATTCGATCTTCGGCTGGGGAATAGCATCGACATAGCAGTGAATGAAACCTGGTTGATCTTCCAATAACTGATATTTTGATTTTTGATTTTGTTTAACGACAGGTGGAGCTGCAAAAAATTAACTTGTAATTTAGTAAGACTCCTTCAGAAGAAGCATCTGTGCAACAAAACTTGGATATATAAACGCTTTTTCGAAAGTGTGTGGAATTCTCGTCGCTAGGAAAGGACCCCCATTTTTGACAGAGCATCTCACCTGTCGCGAAGATGGCGCACCGCACGTCAAACTGAGATAATCTAAAACAGTCCGGTGAATGGATTGGCAATTTGCCAAAAAAAAACGCGAAAAAATTTTTTGTCGGGGAAGAAATGGGGAATTTTTGGGGCGAGAGAGTACGCTTTTGCGTGTCTTTTTTTCTCTTTTTCTCTGCAAAATCAAGACGAAGTGTAAAAAGCCGATAGCGAAGGGTCTATTCCGGTCACCGGACTCCTCAGTTTGACGCGCACCGTGCATCAAAATATCGCTTCGTGGTACGCCTTCCGAAATGGTTCGAAATTGCCCGATCATAGTACAAAGAAGGGCAAAATACACTGTTCTCCGCGACAAAAAGTCCACGCACTTTTGAAAAAAAAGGTAGTCAGCCTGTCTTGAAAATAATGGGAACTCTGCCCCATCAAAAATTGCATCGCCGCCTTAAAAATGAATTCGCGACAACATTAAATTGCTTTTCACTCAAGTGACGCGGTCGGCACAGCGACATTATTTTCCCGACACACTGACATTGAAGCTTAAACAAAACATATTCATGTTGTCGCCGACTCTTCGAACAAAAAATCTCGACTGGCTTAGAAAAGAATGCGCTAAAAATCAGCGCATCAAATCTCACAAACGGGTTCGTTGTACAGAGCTTCCTCCGTATTTTGTATTCACCTACATTTCACTTCAACTATGGTCTCCACACTCTCCTCTCCCGCGATGTTCCTCGCCGTGCACTTGTACACGCCCGCCTCTCCAGCACTGGGACTTTTAATCCTCAGCGCGCCCGAGTGCGTTACCAAATAGTTGGAGGCGTCGCCCGAGATCACCACACCATCCTTTTCCCAGACCAACGACGGTTCCGGCGTGCCGCTGACCTTGCAGTTCAACGTGTACGGAATGCCAGCGATGACTTTTGTCTTGACCGGGAGTTGCGTCAAGATCTTGGCCGGGGATTGGACTTGCAGCGAGTAGGTGATATTGTCATTACCCGCCAGATTCGACACCTGGCATTTGTAGTTCCCAGCATGACTGAGCTGGACCTTGTACAAGATTAAACTCCCGTCATTTGAGATCTTCATGACGCTCGGATCCAACGCGCTTTTGTCCAACTTGGAGTCCTCGTAGGTCCAGTTGCGCTCGGGCGGCGGGAAGGCGCGAGCGGGACACTCGAGGACGACGGTTTCGTTGACTTTCGCGCTCTTGGAACGGATCAACTTGGACTTGTCGATCTGCGGCGCAATGTGGACGGTGACCAGGATGCTCCGTTCGTCCTGCCCAATGTCGTTCTTGGCAACACACTTGTAGGTGCCACGGTTGTTCTCGTCCACAGACTCGAGCACCAACGAACCGTACTCATCAATGTTCGGGGCTTCCAGCTCCACGTCGTTGAAGTACCTGGAAATAATGGTTAAAAGATATTATTACGCTCTTTCAAAAAGTGCTGGACTTTTTGTGGTGGCCGCGCCGTGCACAAAAACCTTTTTGTGCGGGTTGCATTTAACCTTCTGCACCGTGTTAGTGCAATATCGCAACGACGGAGGAGCCGGCGCGAATTTTGGGCGCGCGAAAAGTGTGCGGTGCGAAAAAGAGCCGAAAAAAGTCCGCGCACTTTCTGGAACGGCTGTTAGCATTTTCATAAAGTACACGGACTTTTCGTCGTGTGCCGAAATTTGAGACAATTTCACCGTGCAAAAATGATTTAAAAAACGTTATCCACTAAAAAAATTGACCGGAATTTTTGACCTAATTTTCGACCACCTCTATTTCGAGACCCACCAAGTTTTGTCGGCGGGCGGGTCGCTCTCCACATCACAATCCAAGTTCACCGTGTCTCCGAGGATGAGTTCGTAGGAGCTGCGGCCACTCGTAATCACCGGCGCGGTTTGAATCTCCACATTCACATTGTACGCCACTTCTCCAGCTTCGTTGGTGGCTTTGCAAGTGTAAACTCCGGCGTGGATTTGGTCGGTTTTGTGGATTCGAAGGGAGTTGTCGGGCTTAAAAATATGATTTTTTGACGTAATAAAAAAAGTTTTTTTTAAATTATTTGGCTTTTTATTAGCCACAAATCACCGCTCAAAAATTCTATTTCGAAATTTTCAGCTACAGCCGAGGCTTCCTCCACGTGAAGCTGGAGAACATTCTTCCCGCCCCAAAGCACACAATGACCGGAATACTGAACAAATTTCTGACCCAAATAAAAGAAAGCTTCCCGGAAATCATGGATAAGGTCGTAGAAAGTTTTTTTGAATTGTGCGAGCCATCAGCAGAGAACCATGAGGAGATCTTCCACCTTAAGCATGCTATTACGCTGTTTTCTGAGCTCTATTCTTGCTTGAAGACCGAAAACAACATGCCGCAAAACTGGAGGTATTTTCTTCATGTCTGAAGCACAATATCCCAAGTTTTTCTTATACCCCCAAATTGCATTATCTATTGATGCATTTCCCGACCTTTTTGAGAAGAATTCAAGGATCTGGAGGCCTCTCAGAACAAAGCATAGAAGCATTGCAAAGGCTAGCCGCAATATGAAAGTCTTTTTACGACGAGAGACCACGTGAAATGGGAGAGCGGTCGGAAAAATCAAGTTTTTGGCCATATTCTTGCCAATTTCACATGGAAAGATTAACTTTTTGTAGAAACATTATGCCCTACGGTAGAAATAAGTAAAAAACTTTTCAAGCCAAAATTCGCAACAAATGTAAATGTTTTCGAAATTTTTTTTTTTCAATTTTTTAACTTTATTCACCAATTTACTTACCAAAATCGAATGAGAATTTGAATTTCCCGTGATTGGTTCGCCATTCTCCTCCCACGAAATCCTCGTTGCACTCGTGCTGGAGATGGGGCATTTGAGGTCCAGCTGGTCACCGGACCTCACCTTCACCTCTCTCGGCGCATATTCATCCACCACAACCGGACGCACTGAAGGGGAAAAGGAACAAAAATAGGCAACAGAGGGGAAGATAACAGTAGGAAAAAATAAAAAAAGTAACAAAAAAAAAATTTTTATAATTTTTAGTGATATAGAGGGTAAAACGCTAGGAAATCTATATGTTCACTTTTATGGAAAATGTAAAAAAATATCTGATAGAAACTTTACGGCAAATCTCAAAAAAAAACAGCAAAGAAAACTAAATTTCACAAAAAAAATCACCTCAAAAAATGAGACAGGATGTTGCATTTTCAATTATTTTTTAAAATTTTTTTCAATATCAGAATAATAAAAACCACGGAAAAAGTCTAAAAATGTGTTTCAAACGCTTTCAATAGCATTTTTTTCTGTTTCCGGGATACTTTTTGATACTTTTTGGGGGTAATATAAAAAATTTTTATATGTTTTTGCTTCAAAATTAAAAAATTTCAAAATTCAAAAAAAAAATTTTTTGTCCATAAAATTTTTTCTATCGCTTTTTCAGCCAATTCCCCAACTCCCCTGCACCCTCAAAAACCCACTGATCAATTGCACATCGATGCTCAGCGTCGCATTTCCAGCCGGACTGATCGCGACACAAGTGTAATGTCCCTGCTGATCCTCCGTTCCACCCTTCAGGATCAGACTTCCATCCGGCTCGAGCAGCTCGTTCGCCGACTCTTCCAACGGCCTCCCATCCTTGAGCCATTGAACCTGCGGCTTCGGCGTCCCCATTAACACAATGCAACCCAAGCGAAGATCTTGGCCCTCGATTAGATGCGCGTCTTTGGGCGCTTGCGCCAGAATCGGCGACACCAGTCCGGTCACGACGACCAGGGTGTTGCGTTGTTGCTGCCCGAACTCGTTGTCCGCTTTGCAGGTGTAGTAGCCTTGGTCTTCCACCTGCAATTTTTTGAGGGCTTTTTGGGATGAAAAGAGTTTTTTTGAGGGTTTTGGCTAATCAAAAAATCAATTTTGCCAAAATCTCACCTGGACATTATGAATGACCAAACTGTCATCCGGCAGAACCGTGAATCGCGGGCTGGTCACATCGATCGCTTTTTGGTCCTTGAGCCAGGTGATCATCGGTTTGGGGGTTCCAACAACACGGCATTGCAAGGTGACCGACTGTTCGATGTTCACGGAGAGTTGTTCTGGGGATGGAACAATGGATGGGGAGTCTGAAATTGGGAAAACTGGCTTTCAGACATGGATTATGGAGACGGTCCGGAAAATTTTGGAGCTGGGCCGGCCCGGCCCCAATTTTTTTTTCAATTTTTAAATTTACTTTACAAACTGAAAACTTACGCCCAATCGTCACCGTGACGCTCTTCGAATCTTCTCCAGCCATGTTCTCCGCTTTGCAAGTGAAAACTCCGGCATCGGAGTCGAGCGAGTGCTGAAAAATGGAAGGTTTCAAGTGCGCCGGTGCGATTTTTTTTTGTTTTCTTTGTATGCGCTTCAGGAAAAGTGCACGTATAGTATATAAATAATATAGATTCTTAAAAGTTTTAGCTTGCCCTTTGCAGACGCAGAAAAGACATTCAAATCTTTGCGGTCGAGAGAGCACGCGAAAACTCGAGAGCAGTCAGAGAAAAGAAACGTTTTTGGCCATATCTTTGCCAGTTTCGTGGGAAAAGAATTTATTTTTTGTAGAAATATTACACTCTACAGTAGAAACAAGCACAAGACTTTTCGTGCCAAAAATCGCAAAAAAATCTTCAAATTTTTACCTAAAAAATTAAAAAACCTCGTTCATTTGTGCAAGGCGCAAGCTAAAAACTTCGAAAAATTTCATCTAAAATCTGAACGTCGCACTTGAAGAATTTTTACTGCCAAAAAATGAAAAAAAAATCCCAAAATTCCCACCTGAATGCTCAACCTTCCGCCCTCGATGACAATGTTTTGATTTGGCCACACAGGTCGGCCATCTTTGAACCACTTTATGGTCGGCGCAGGATTTGCGGTAATCACGCGACAATCCAAGAAAACCGAACTTCCCCGCGAGACCATGTGCCGATTTTGGGTGACATGGATTATCGGCTTCTCAGCGAATTTTACCGTCGTATAATCCGCCGCAATCCCCGCCGGATTCGAAGCCCGACACTCGTAGGTCCCAACCGACGCTTGGCCAATGTTCCGGATGATGAGTTCGTCTGAAAATAATTTTTTTTTTACTTTTTTGTCTACATATTTTAGGGGTGAAAATGTTCGAAAATTTGGGGTTTTTATCATTTTTGAGGCAAACGGAAGATAAATTTCGCCTGACATGACCTCAAAGGATCATAAAAAATTTTTGCGACAGCTGAATTTTCTTCTCCGAAGAATTTATTTTGCACAGTGCAAAATTTTTTTGGGCAAAATTTTTGAATTTTGCAAAATCCAAAAAAATATTTTTTTTTTGTTTTTCAACTTGCCATCAAAATTTACAACCCAAAAAATTCGCCGCAAAAATTCGCACCCCAAAAAAACTGCACTGTGCAGTGAAAATTCAAAATCTGCACAGTGCACTCGAATTCTTCGAATTTTCAAAAAACTAAAATACCCAAAATTAACTTACTATCGTATGTCACATAATGATGGTCATCGTTTTCAATTTTGACCCCCTTAAAAAGCCATTCGGCCACTGGCAAGGGGATTCCGCGCACGGTGCAGCGCAAAGTGAGGTCCGAATGCGGAACCACAAACAATTCCTTGGGATCCACGACGACTTGAGGCTTGTCGTAGACCTGGAGGAAGACTCTGGCTTCGGCACTGCCTCCGGAAGTGGTGGCGCGACACAGATATTGGCCCGAATCCACATGAGAGGCGTCCAAGATTCGAAGCGTCCCATTTGGGGATTGGTACTGAAAAAAAGCTATTTTTCAGGGCTAAAATACATTTTTATGGACAAATAAAAGTCATTGGCGATTTTATTTACACCTAAAAAAGAAGAATTTTAGAGAAAACAAAAAAAAATTTTTTTAGGTCCCGGCCGGGTTCGAACCGGCGGCCTTCTGCGTGTAAAGCAGACGTGATAACCACTACACCACGAGACCACGGCCCTCCCGTTTCGGGAAAGCGCTGCGCTCTTCGCGGAAAACGGGTGCGCAGTAAATTTGAAACGATTTTTCTTTGCCAGAAATTGCACAGTGCAAAATTCTCGGCATTTCTCAACTACAAAATTGCACTGTGCAAAGAGATTTTTTAAAAAAGTAAAAATTCTTTGTAAAATACGAGTTTTAAAACGAATTTTTTATGACCAAAATTTTGCACCGTGCAAAGCTATAGGCATTTTTGAACTATGAAACTGCACTGTGCAAAATCGTAGGCTTTTTTCAACTAGAAAGCTGCACTGTGCAAAAGATATTCAAAAAATAGAGCAAAAATGCTTTGTAAAATACGAGTCGCCGAATTCGGACTTGATTTTTAAAATCAAAATTTTGCACTGTGCAAGACTATAGGCGTTTTTTAACTATAAAACTGCACAGTGCAAAATTCTAGGCTTTTTTCAACTAGAAAACTGCACTGTGCAAAAAAATTTGAAAAAAAGTAAAAATACTATGTAAAATACGACCGCTTGACGAGAGACCAGATTTTTTTAACTAAAAATTTTTTACTGTTAAAACCTGCAGGCGTTTTTGACCTAGAAAACCGTACAGTGCAAAATTCTAGGCTTTTTTCAATTAGAAAACTGCACTGTGCAAAACCGTAAGCTTTTTTCAACTACAAAATTGCACTGTGCGAAAATTTTTTTTTGCTTCCAACAAAATTCTTACCACTTTTCCGGAATTCCCGACCACAAATCCTTTCCTCAGCCACACAATGCTCGCCTGTTCGATGCTTTGGGTTTGGCAGTGCAAGAAGGCCGCCTGTCCTACTGTAACGCTCTCATTTCGCGGCTGAATGATGTGCGGAGGCGGCTCTTTGGTGTCCAAATACGTTCTGGCGGTGAAATTCCCGTTCTCCGACACCACCTCGCACATGTAGTAGCCGCGATTATGGGGCGAAACGACGTCAATTGTCCACACCGAGGTGTCGGTGTGTTTGTAGAACAGGGGACCTCCGATTTGCGTGTTCCCGTGCTTCCAATAGACCGTGTACGGCGCGACGGACTCGATGGAACAGCTGAGGTTGACCGGTTGATAGGCGGTGGCGGTGGTTCGCTCGGCCATGTAGGCGCGAGGACCGGTCGCGTCGACGGTGGAGATGGCGGTCGGAGAGATTCGAATGAACTCGTAGTTCTGGAAAAAAGATGGGACTATCAGTTTGTCGGGAAAATAATGTGGATTTGTTAGCTCAGAAATTCGCAAAAACTTGCTCTTTTTTGATTAAAAAATTGCACTGTGCAAAATTCTAGGCTTTTTTGGACTAGAAAACTGCACTGTGCAAAATTCTAAGCTTTTTTAGACTACAAAATTGCACTATGCAAAATTCTAAGCTTTTTGCACAAAAAAATTGTACGGTGCGAAACCGTAGGCTTTTTTCAGCTACAAAATTGCATTGTGCAAAATTCTAGGTTTTTTCACTAAAAATTGCACTGTGCAAAATTTTATAACGACAAGCTTGCACAATGCAAAATCATAGGCTTTTTTCAACTAAAAAATTGCACGGCGAAAAAATCTAGGCTTTTTTCAACTAAAAAATCGCACCGTGCAAAAGCATAGGCTTTTTTCAACTACAAATTTGCACTGTGCAAAAAAAATTTCCATCTTTTTCACCCTAAAAGCCGCAATTTCTCGTTAAAATTCAAGCTCTCAAAGTCTTGAAACTAATGTTTTTCAGTGCTATTCAAACTCACCGTATCATCCTCTCCTTGAATTCGGATGAAAAAGAATCCCTTCGGAGGCATGAACGGCCCCACATAATACAAATACGGGTTGCCCGGATGAATCGTCGTCTCATTCTTGTACAATGTACGTCCATGATAGTCCAGCAACGTGACTTGATGCAGCATTCCCGGCGGCTCGAGGCCGGTCATGTTGATCATCAGGTAGGTGAGTTGATTGGCGATGGGGCGTGGGTGGGCCAAGTCAATGGAGCCCACCACTCGAGTCGAGAAGCCGAACTTGAAGTCGACACCGCTGTGGCCGAAGACGCGCAGGGTGTGCATGGATTTGGCGGTGGTGCGGACTTGCCACATCCCCGGCTCCGGGTTGGAGACGCGGATCAGCTGAAGAGTATGAGTTAGAGGCAGGCGACGGGGATTGTTCATATTCAGTTTGTCAGGAAAATAATGAGCACTTTGTCGCATAGAAAATCGCATCGTCGCGGAGAAAATGAACTGTGTTGCGACAAGATCAAATTTCTTTTCAATCAGTCTGTCGGGAAAATAACGGCGGATCGTCGCGCCTCGGAATCGCCCATCATCGCTTTGCGACTGCAAGCCGCGACATGGGATTTGGTGCGCGATAGCGGCGAGGCGAGACATTTTGATGCGACGATCCGCCCTTATTTTTCCGACGGACTGATAGCTTGTGCTTTGGGAACGCACTATATAGTATGCGAGTTTCCTAGATGTCGCTTTGTAAATATAATAAAACAAGATTTTTAAGGCAAAAGTTGGTGATAATGCGGCACTTTTTTTGTGCGTTTCTCCACAAAAACTTTGAAGCTGATTCAAGTAATTTTTAAATTGTGTTTTTTAGAAGGCAATGCTGCCACATAAAATATGTAGTTGTCCGCTGTCACGACTTCGCGTGCGAATTTGCATATTCCCACGGAATGACCGACAAATTGGTATAAAAGGAAGAGAAATCGCCAATTATGATAGTATTATTTTTGTGTTTTGTCTTTTCCCGGTTGTGTTGTGTGCAATAAACCGTTGTATTTTCTACTGTAGTCTATTGTTGTTGTATGGTGGTCACATCCTCTGGAGTCAATATCGTGAGTTCAGAGTTTTATTGCCAGAGTCCTCTAGTTTGTGTCTCCGGGTTATCAGAGGGTAGTGAATACTAGTAGTAGTGGGCAAGTTAAGGGCCATCTTACACCACGACTCATAGCTAACTCATGACACCGCACAAAACTGGCCAAGATATGGCTACAAAGCCCATCGAAGTTTTCTGGCTAATTGCTAAGGAAACTCTAGAACAAAGCCTATTTTTTACCTACCCATTCAGATACTTCAACGTTTTTCAATATCTGTATTACACTATCTCTGTTCAGCAGACTTCAAGTTGTGACAGGGTCAAAACACTCCCTTGAAAAATTTGTTAAAAACCCTTCCCAGCTCACCTTCACATTCCTCAAATCAATCGTTCCTTCTTGATGTTCGTACCGGCTTCTATCGACCGCATCGCCCTCCGGATCGATCAACGAGATGTTCAAATAGTCGCTGTCATCCCTCTGCCCGGACAACGAAATCGTCAGCTCGGTCATGGCGCCATCCACCGCGATCGGGCTGATATGCGCATTCCCATGCTCTCGGACCTCGTACAACAAGTGGATTTTGCGCTGTTGCACGGCTTGTCGAACATATTCCAGGACCGTGTTCACATGCGACTTCTCCAAGTGGAACACCTGCCCGAAGGAGGCGGCCGCGATGCGCTCGAAGACGCGGTAGCCGGGAGAGGTTTGGTTCCCGCAGTCGCCGGTCATCACGAACACCACCGACGATTGGCGCTCCTGGATCAGGTTCAGGACACGCTCTTCAAGATGGTAGTCTTTGGCTCGTGCGTCCGTGAAGACGTAGATGTAGGAGCCGGGTAATGAGACTTCCAGCGCTTTTTTGATGCCTGAAAAATACTTTTTTTATGGAAAGTGGCCAAAAAATTTGGATTTTTCAATCTGTCGGGAAAATATTGGGGATGGTCGCAGTAAAATGTCTCCCCTGTCGCGCAACCGCGACAAGCCCTCGCAAAGCGACGATGGCCGAAGCTTTGCCGTCAAGGCTCTAAATTACAGTGAGACGCCTGATCCAGGGGCAAAAAACGTACCATTTTGCATCCGGAAAGTATCAAAAATGTGGCAAAATGCTTCCCTCTCCAAGTAAAAAGGCTCCCATTTCAAATGCGCGCCCGCTCTTTTTGTGACGGAAAGGGCGCGCCAAACCAAGTTTTTTCACTTGGAAAGGGAAACATTTTGCCACATTTTTGATGCTTCCCGGATGCAAAATGGTACGTTTTTTGCCACTGGATCAAGTAAAGTGCGTAGACTTTTTGTAGCGAACAGCACATTTTTCTTTTTTTTTTTTTGCACTGTGCAATTTGTCGGTCCAAAATTTGGGGCGACTTTTTGAATTGCACAGGGCGAAAAATGAAAAAAAAGCTTTGCGAAAAAAGTCGGCGTACTTCAAGGAACGACTAGTATCCACATTATTTTCCCGACAGACTTTTAGATCCCTTCAAGCGATCCAACAAAACGCTGGACTGACCTTTGATGTCTGTCGGGAAAATAATGTGGATTTGTCATTCTGTCGGAAAAATAATGTGGATTTGTCATTCTGTCGGAAAAATAATGTGGATTTATCGGTCTGTCGGAAAAATAACGTGGATTTATGAGTCTGTCGGGAAAATAATGTGGATTTATCAGTCCGTCGGGAAAATGGTGTGGATTTATCAGTCTGTCCGGAAAATAATGTGGATTCGTCTCAGTACACATCGCGCATCAAATCTCCAGCCGCGCCTATCCACATTATTTTCCCGGCATACCGATCAAAAAATCTCGGCGACCAAGCACAACGACCCTTACCAGAGAGCGTCATTTCCGGACAATCGCCTCCTCCTTGCACCGTAACCGACGCCAACTCCTGCTGGAAGACGTCGGGATCGGTACTGATGAACGGCGGATCCACGTCCGGATCGTGGAACAAAACTAGCACATAGTTGTAGATCAATTTCTTTCGCTGCTTCATCACCGTCTCAAAAATGCCTTTTGCACCGTGCCGCACCTGGACCAGATCGTCGTTCATGGAGCCGGTCCGATCGAAGACAAACGTCAATGACGTCATCCCCGGAGGAGGGACGTCCTCCATGCTGTTGGATGAGGCATGTCGACGGGCGATCAGAGGGTGGTATTGAGCCTGAAAAAGTAGTTATTGGGCGAGATTAGAATTTTCATAAAGTGCATAGACATTTTTAAAAACGCTCAGATTTTCACCAAATTTTGCACATTCTTTGAGCATGGTCCAGATATCAATTCCTGAAAATTTTAGCTCACCCTTTGCAGTGAGAGCCGAGATATTCAACCATCTTTTCGACCAAGAGAGCACGCGTAATGCGGAGAGCGGTCAAAGAAAATTTACTTTTTTGGTCGTATCTTTGCCAGTTTCGCGCGGAAAAAATTGATTTTTTGTGGAAATATTACTCTCTACTGTAGAAATAGGCATGCCGTTTTTTGTGGTGAAATTTACAAAAAAAAATTCATATTTTTTCCAATTTTTGGTCTAAAATCTCGAATATTTCTGCAAAATGCAAGCTAGAAATCTCACATATGTCTTATAAAAAATTACTCTAAATTTGTGCCAAGTTTCAGCAAGATCTGAGCGTCGTGATTGTAGTAGTTTTCCATTTTTTTCGTCAAAAAATCATAAAAAATCGGTCAAAAACTTCTATATTTTTTCTCAACTTACAGCGCCTTCCCCAGCCAAAAACATGACGGCCCAAAGGGTCCAAAACCACTTGAATCTCGTCATTCCTCCAACAACTTCAAGAATATCATGGAAAAAGTTGCAAACAGTCGGTGTTTGGTCGATAATTCTGTAACAAAAAAATACAAAAAAGGCTGTTGAAACCCCCGACAAACAACATACGATTGTTTTTTCGCACGCGGAAATATCGCGGCTGACCAAATTGGCCCGAATTTCGGGCAATTTTGGAATGTTTCGAAAATGGGAGGGGAATTCAAAAATTGGGCGAAAAATACAAATTTCGCAAGATTTTGATCCCAAATCGCTGTTAGCCAGTCTGTCGGGAAAATAGTGTGCATATCGGCGTCAATTGCATCGCTGAACAGAAAAAAAATTTTTTTTTCACCATAATTCATTTTCCCAGCGGCAAGGCGATTTTTCGATACGACAGAATGTTCATTATTTTCCCGACAGACTGTTCAATCCGTTCGCCGCAAAGTCGCTGGAGCGAAATTAACGACTTGCACTGTGCGAAAACTAAGGTTTTCTTTGCACTGTGCAATTTTTTGTTTGCACCGTGCAATAGGCTTTTTCGGGCTGTCGCTCGCACCCTGACTTTTATTGCACAGTGCAAACGGCAAATGTCGGATCAGCGACTTTATTGAAATGAAAAAATCGCTTATAAAATTTTTTTAAAAAATAAAAGAAGGTTTTTTTGCCTTTTGGGAAAAAATCAAAATTTTTTCTTTATTTTTATCGAAAAATATTTTTTTTTTATTTATTTTTTATTTTCGCCCAAAAAATCATAAATTTGTTTTTTTATAATTGCCCATCAAAAAACCAATTTTTTTTTTCGAATTTCCCCTCAATTTTTTTAATAAACCAAAAAAAATTTATCCTCCATTTTTCCACCAAAAAATCAGAAAAAAATCTTCATCCTTTTTTTTGCCTTTTCGGAAAAAATCAAAATTTTTTCTTTAATTTTTCATCGAAAAATCCAGAAAATTTTTTAAAAATAACCTTTTGATTTTTCTCAAAAAATCATAAATTGTAAATCAAAAAAAATTTCAAAAAAATTTCTTCAAAGATTTTTCCATCAACCCCACAAAAAATTTATCCTTCTTTTTTCCACCAAAAAATCAAAAAATATCTTCTTCTTCAGCCCTTCAGATCCCCATCTTTAAGACTTGAATAAATATTTTTTTGCCTTTTCGGAAAAAAATCATATTTTTTTCTTTAATTTTTTATCGAAAAATCCAGAAAATTTTTTAAAAATAGTTTTTTTGATTTTTTCTAAAAAATCGTAGAAGTGTTTCTTATAATTTTCCATCAAAAAATCAATTTTTCAAAGATTTTTCCATCAAACCCACAAAAAAAATTTATCCTCCATTTTCCACCAAAAAATCAAAAAAAACTTCTTTCTCAACCCCTCAAAACCCCATTTATCCTCATAAAAACTAAATATAAAACTCGGCGAATACCCAAATTTCCCTGCCGCAAATTTCCCTATTAAACCCGTCTCGGATTCCCGTTATGAAATCGGCCGAAGAATAAGTGGGACTTTCGGTTCGTAAACCGATATCCTCCTGGAGTTTTTTCGTGCGGCAAAAACTCGCTTCCGTCAAAAGATCAAAAAGCAGGGGAGGGAGGGTTAATTTGAGGAGAGCTTAATCATGCCGTGAGTTACGGGAGGGGAGGGAATGCAACTTCAGAAGGGGGGAAAAACACCGGGAATGCGAATTACTTTCTGGGAAAGACTTGTTGTAAAAAAATCGGAAAAAGTTCCTTATTTTGGCCACAGGTACCCCGCGAACTGCGCCCAAGCTTGGGCACTAAAGTTAAGAAAAAACGCTTCGACCTAGCTGGCACTGAATTACTATAATAGCTCTACAGTTTTAAGGGTACCTACGAAGGCTGTGACGACTCATTTAGTTCTATACGGAGGCAATAAGTTTAGTTCCGGACATGTTTCATCGTATAAAGTGTAAAATCACAGGCTGCAGCCGTTTTTGAAGGGTAAGGTGGTACGTAAAAAAGAAGGTACCTCACTAACTAAATCCGCTGTCCGGGCATTGACAACGATGAATTGAGCGTGCACGCTAAATTTGGGCTAATTCCGACCAGTTTCCGCAAAGTTGTGGCCAAAATAAGGAACTTTTACCAAAAAATCATTTTTTTTCTAACAGGGGAAGTACTCCAAGTGCGACGCTCAGATTTTCTCTAAATTTTGCACACATGTCGGGTATGGACTAAACATCAATTCCTGAAAGTTTTAGCTCGCGCTTTGCCGACGCCGCCGAGATATCGAACGCTTTTTGCCGCCGAGAGAGCATGCTAAACGGTTGAGCCTGAACTCTCCCCATTTTCTGAACTTTCTTCCAATCTGAACCCTACCCCTTTTTCAACTCTCCCCCAAAAAAGGCTGAACTCTACCCCTTTTTGGTTTTCGCCAAAAAATCTGAACTCTCCCCCTTTTTGAACACTCCCCCATTTTGAAAATTGAAAATACGAGGTGTGACATCTTTTACGATGAATTTTTTTTTTGAAATTGAGAAAAATTTTGAGAAGAATAAGATGTCACATCTTATATTATATAGAATGAAGATGTCACACATTATTTTTTCAATTTGAAAAATTTTTTCATCGTATAAGATGTCACACATTATTTTTTCAATTTGAAAAAAATTTTCATCGTATAAGATGTCACACCTCATTTTTTCAATTTTCAAAATGAGGGGGAGTGTTCAAAAAGGGAGAGAGTTGAAAAAGGGGGAGAGTTCTGCCGCAACGATGCTAAACGTGGAGAGCGGTCAGAGGGAAAACCGCTTTTTGGCCATAACTTTGGCAGTTTCGTGCGGAAAATTTTGATTTTTTGTAGAAACATTGTCCTTTACGGTAGAAATAGGCATGAAACTTTTCGTGCCGAAATTCGGCAAAAAGTCCTAAATTTTGGCCGACTTTCAATCTAAAAATCTCGGTTGTTTCTGCAAAGCGCGAGCTAGGATTCTCGCATATATTTTAGATAAAATTGCTCTAAATTTGTGCCAAGTTTCATCAAAATCTGAGCGTCGCACTTGGAGTACTTCCCTAGAAAAATCATAGAACTTTTCATACCCAAAAAATACACAGTATAATTACAAATAAAAAAAAATAAAATAAAGTAAAGACAGCAGAACGTCGCGGAACCCGGATGTCCCAACTCCAATCCATTGTTTTGAAGTGGGAATCAAAATAAAGGCCCGGCGAAGGGAGTTGTCATCTGTTTTATGTTGACACTACTCCCCAAAAACAGTATCGGAATAAAGCGACAGTTCGGATGGGCTTTAAAATCTTTTTTTTTACTATTTTATTCTGTGAAGATGTGACGAATTACAGGCAAAAAAATTACCGCAAAATTTCGATAATTTACAGGGGAAGTACTCCAAGTGCGACGCTCAGATTTTGATGAAACTTGGCACAAATTTAGAACAATTTTTTCTAAGATATATGCGAAAATCCTAGCTCGCGCTTTGCAGAAACAACCGAGATTTTTAGATCGAAAGTCGGCCAAAATTTAGGACTTTTTGCCGAATTGCGGCACAAAAAGTTTCATGCCTATTTCTACCGTAAAGGATAATGTTTCTTCAAAAAATCAATTTTTTCCGCGCGACACTGCCAAAGTTATGGCCAAAGAGGTGTTTTTTCTCTGACCGCTCTCCACGTTTAGCGTGCACGACTTAGCTATGAGTCGGGGTATAGGATGGCCCCTAACTTGCCCTCTACTCCTAGTATTCACTACCCCTGATAACCCGGAGACACAAACTCGAGGACTCTGGCAATAAAACGGTGGACTCTCGCAAAATTGATTCCACTTTGTGTCGGCACGACCGGGTAGGATCAAACGGAAACTTCCCACAGACTTCACAAAAATATCTTTGTTTCACCAACGAGTCTGACCGAAAAGCGGTCGATCCATTACATTTATATTAAAATGTTCGTGTTTATGCTAATTTCTGGGAATTCTTCACGAAATCGTGACAGCTCTCTCGGCGGCATAAATCGTTCGATATCTCGGCGGCGTCCGCAAAGCGCGAGCTAAAACTTTCAGGAATTGATATTTAGTCCATACCCGACGATGGATTCCATCGAAAGACTTCGGATCCACCGAGGAAGACTTTTTTAGCATAGTGCAAGAACCAAAAATCAGCAAGTTTCCGAAAAAAGAGCAAAGTTAATCTCGTTACAATGAAGCCTTTGTGCGGGCAACAAAAAATGTCTACGCACTTTATGAAAATATGAAATATCAATTGTCGGGAAAATAATGTGGATTTGTCGCGCCTTGAAAAATCCACATTATTTTCCCGACAGACTGATAATTCATATTTTCAAAAAGTCCATGGACATTTTTTTGGAAAGCAAAGTGTTTTCGTATCAGTATGTCGGGAAAATAATATGGATTTCCGCGCCTTGGAATTTCCCATCATTCTTTTGCGACGGCTGGACGCGACTAGGAATTAAGAAAATTTTTAAAAAAATGCGCGACTCTGCGACTAGGCGAGACATTTTTTTGCGACAAATCCATATTATTTTCCCGACAGACTGAGAAGTTGAAAAAAGCCTATTAGCACGTTCATAAAGGGCATGGACATTTTTCGTTTATTTTTTCATCACTTTTATCAAATTCCACATTATTTTCCCGACAGAATGACAGCACCATAAAGGGTTGTGTTTCCACAAAAAATCGTTTTTTTCCGCGCGAAATTGGCTAAAATATGGCCAATTTTTTTTCTCTCACCACTCTCCTCATTTCGCATACTATCTGCGAGAATTTGACAAAAAAATACGTCTGCCAAATTGACGAAAAATCCCAGCATTACAGAGTCAGCAAATCCCCATTTTCCAAAATGAAAAAAATCCAAAATTTTTTTCCACACCCCGCAAAAGGTAATTGTAAAACCCCCCTCCTCCTCCTCCTTCAGCCCACTTGAAATTCAAATTTCAACAAGCCCAATTGATCCGATAAGTTGATGAGACAAAACAAAAAACATTTTCCTTTTGTGAAAAAGAAAACTTTTCGCCCCAAAAAA